AACACTCCACAACTGAGGGAACAGCCTTATAAAGGTTCAGTACAGTCTTCTTTCCACATACTGACAAACTCGGAGGATTCAAGGTAACTCTCAACGACAGCTTCTAAGCCTTAAAGGATCTACTCAAAGAAGAAACTACTATGGAGAACAATTAGAAAGGGATCGATGAAGCATTAATTTTAACGTATCAGAAGGTTCTGGGCTGCCAGAAGCATTATCATAAGCAATGGATCTCTATGGACCAGCTAAGCACCAGCAATTAACATTACAACTCTAAATATCTGTCTATGAGTAGAGCAAAAAGTAACAAACTATAGTTACAATATAAATGGTATATTAAACAACAAGATAATAAGTTGTTATGAAATGAATGTTACTTGTAAGTTGTTCTCTGAGATGACAACCACAAATGACTTCACTTGATTAACGAAATTTCCTCTGAGCGTGGTAGCACCAACGGCGTAATGAGAGAGATTGAATCCAATAGTATTATTTAATAATGATCCGGGCCAAAAATCCAACGTAGTGTGGGAAGGCCCAAAACGATGTTATCACACTATTATAATCTTCAATCAACGGCCGTGGCCAATAAAGCAGAAGAACAAACGGCGATAAGGTTTATATTCCAACCAACGCGGTAGTATATCAGTATATGTATATGTATATAACCAAACAATTATGTCCGTTTTTACCATTGATGCAGAGAAACAATAGATGTTAGATATAAATGTGGTTACATATGAAGTGTGACAAAATAGAGAAAGAGAATGGTTTTTATTTCGTCGTTATAAAAATTCACTGAATATACATGTCACCATACTCTTCATCTCTAAATCCACCTTTAAAGCTAAACAGAATAATGTTATGTTTAGCTTGGAATTAATAAAAAGAATCTCTCAGATCCGTCCACAATTTATTCCAGTAATTAGAAATAAACTATCATGAAAAGGCTATGAAAACTTCTAAGTATATTGTATTACATACGAACGAATTTGGTACTCAAGTACAAATGATTTATTAACCAGAACAAATACCACAACAGTTCCAACTCAAAAAATACTGTGCTTTCTGACGACATTCAAAACTTTAATTCATTTTTGTATTGGTTGTTTGAATCCTCCCATTGATGTTTAGGACTACAATTGATCAGTGCCTTGTTGTGCATCCCGTGTTAGTTGTCTCGATACCGCCCTAAATCACAAACATTCTAAGCAGAAATAAGTGGTGGCTAGTAGTAGAACGCAACGCGCTCTTCGTCCTATTTGGGACTCGTCAGCTGGTGTACCCGCATCTTAGAGTTGATGTGTCACTCTGAGACTGGAGCCCAGCACCCTCCACTGTGAGATGCAGGTACATCCAGCCGATGAGTTTCAAGTAGGACGAAACGCGCGTCCTGGATTCCACCGCTAGCCACCATCCATCTCTGCTGATGATTGGAAATTTTAGTTTTATTTTTTTTGTGCTAGTAATTTGCAAGTTGAACGTCCACAATAAGTTTGTTACGGGTATAATCAACATTACCGGAGTTATTTTATTTCCTGAAAACATGAATTACTACAAATGTCATATAGTAAACCTTATCGAGGTTTAGTTAAGTTGAAGTTATGAAAACTTCTAAGTTGTTCACTCTAAATAAGTTATGCAAAACGTAAAGCCCAAATATGATTTTAAAGAATGATTGACTGGGCAAAGAGTATGTTCACAGTGTAAGGCCTTGTATTTTCGACTTTATTGATATTTAAAACCGACTTTGATCGGTCTTTTTCAGAATATAAGTCACTTCATTAGATTCATTTCCAGGATGGACACTTCAGAGGAATCTTATATTAGGACGAAATGAGTGTTTACTCTTCTTTGATGGACAATGATATTCCGACTGAAGTCAGTTTGTGACGAATGCAACCCGAAGCTCCATCGTTATTTACACAAATATCAGGTTTAAATGGTTTGTAATTTTTAACGTTGATAAATTAAATTAGAATAATAGTTCAGTTGGTAAATGATTTAAAGCCAAGGATTAATGAGATGTGTAATATCATAGTTTATGGCTCCACAATATTAAGTACACATGACTACACATAGGATTAAACCCTAGATATTCTGGTGTTATCTAAAACGTAATGCTTTCAAATTATCAACTCAAAAGCTTACGGTCCACATTTCTACAACTTTATATAATTCCCTCAACCAAATTATGATGTGTGAAATGATTACTTCTGTACACTATCCATTCAAAAAGATCGTGAATTTCATACATACATACAGCTGTTTTCTTCATCATTTTTATCAGTTCGAAGAGATCAAGTATTAGGTAATTTCTCTGTTATTCGTAAAATTTTAGAAATGATTTTATAATAAGAAAAAATGAGGGGATCCACATCAAGTTAAATTATTAGCAAATAAAAAGAAAATATTAGAAAAGTAAACACGCTAACAATCTGGATTAGAATTTTGGTGTCGTATTGACATACGTACACTTACAGACTGACTAAAATAATCTAAGTGAGTGAGAGCCGGAAGGTAGTCATAAACTACGAAGAAATAACCATCCATTGCCAATGAATCTTGTTGTTAATGAAAAATAACGTTAACTTATACAAAAGTCTTCATAAAATGTTCCTGTTTTAACGATGATCGTTTTAATCTCTAGCTCCAGATTTAAGTAGTAACATTATAAGTAATAGTATACATTTGGAAGAAGAGACCACATTCAGTTTACTATCATATTTAGCCAATGTATCTGGTCGGATAGTTGAATTACTTTGATTTATGGTATTTCTACATAAAATATGAAGGTCTAATGAAAGTTTCATTATTAATTAAATATTACTCACAAGTAGTTAAAACCGTTGCCAGAACGATTTTCCAGATGCAAACAGTAAATGTATAACTAGAGTATTGTATACGATAATGAATTATTCAGTTTACGTCAAAATGTTCACCTGAAGGATAAAATTTTAGGATCTGCCGTAGAGAAGATAACCCAATCTATTTGAAATTACAATGATAATGATAAATGGGAATTGAATAGTTAATTTCTCTGATATACATTCTGGTTTTCTTAAGCTTACTTTTACTCATTCATTATTACAGATCACCTTATTCCATTTAAATGATCAATACTCATTACTGTGGTAATAAAACAACAACTATCACTAATATGTTTTATATTTAGACAAAGTTATCAAGAAAGAAAGGGGAAATAGTTGTGCATTTTCTTCAATCGAGTTGTACATATAAAAAAGTCCTATTCCATTATAATGTGGATGATATTTTGTAAACCTATCATTCTTTGTATAGGTTGAAAAACACCTTATTATTCCGCAAGATATTTATAGCGACTCACGTGCAAATGGGTTTATTCTCATTTAACTCAGTTAAGCCCTTTTGCTAACTTATTTAGCGGACAAAGCCATCCGCATTATAACAATTTATTGTACCCTTATTATTATTTTGTGCTTGTATGAAATACGCATGCTTGAATATATTGCTTACGGCCTACGCATTTATTCACTCTGCTAGTCTCACTACTAACCGCTTATTTGATTCGATTACTCATTAATTAATATATATGTCCATGTTATTCATATGGCTGACTCTGCTTTCTCGATCGCTTGATTGTACTCGATTACTTATATTCACTCAGTCGCTCGCTTGCCTGTTTGCCGTTCGGCACAACTCTTAATGCTCGTTTAATGCATCAGTAATTTCGGACATCTGTGTGTGTGGTCTCGAAATAAACGTAATCAACGCTTCATATTCGCCTTCTGAATAATATACCGTTGGGGTTAAATAGGACGGTTATCAAGACGAATTGTATACGAAGTTAAGGAATACATCGAATACCGACCACCACATATTACCATCAATGTAACCTCACAGAAGAATAAGTATAAATTGTTTGTAACCTAATATTTGTATCTACTTAATAAAAAATATATATAACCATACATTTGTGATATCCCAATGAGTATAGAGTTGAATAGATTGTTGAGTTTAGATTGATATCGTGAATGGATCAATGTTAGACCACCAATGAAAACCTGAAAGCACTGGACGACCGTTTCTTCCTAGTGTGGGATTCCTCAGCAGTGCACATCCACGATCCCTCACATAAGCCTCGAACCCAGGATCTTCAGTGTCGCGCGTGAACTCTTAAATTAAGCTTTCAACGTGTCCAATAAATCGCTTCTTCAGAGAATAAATAAAATACTAAATTACAAAATGTCAAAAATTTAGTTTTTTTACTCATTAGGATAGTACGAATACACCATTAGTTATTTTATGAGCAGTCTAACCCATGCCGAATCCACTTTTTGAAATTTACATGCCACATCCCGATATTAATGCGTATAAACTAATTGTGTCTGGGTTCTCAAACTACTGTAGATTGAATAGATGTGTATTTCTTTTAGTTATTTTCTTCTGAAACTAGAGATTAACGAGAAATCGTTGTTGCATTTTCATACAAATTGCATTCTGTTTCCATTCTTTACTGTTCGATCCTCTTGTCTCCCTGCTGCCTGACATTCTGTTCACGACTAACGTCACATACTACTTATGTAGATATAAGTACCACACACCACATGACTAGTAAACTTACTAAGTTATCGATAGCATTCTTATTAATGGTGATGAAATGTAATTGAATTATTTTATGGAATTTAGACGAAGTGGCCAAAGATCAATCTGTTTAACACAAGATAATATATCATAAGTTGGAGACGATATAAAGCTATGCACTGATATAGTGTTTAACATTAGGGTAAAACAACGTTTCTAATTTATTCCTAACACCACTAACTCTTTCTGTCTTCACAAACGATTATATACGAGGATAGGCGACATATATAACAATCATTCATACGATCAAATTAGAGTCAGAACTCAGGCCACTCAAGTGGAGAGCCCGTCGACAACATTGTCCAATCTGAATGATGACAAAATAAAAAGCCCCACTGAAAACTCATAATAAACACAAATCTTAATGTGAATAGTTGATGGTTTATTATATACTAGAAACTTGCATTTTGAGTGAAAGAAGAAAAGGTAATAAGCACTTTTGAATGATCAAAGAAAAAGAAAAAACATATTTAAATTCGCTGATACTCAATTAAGTAACCAAAAACAAACTTTTGAGGACGTTAGATCCCCAGAACTCACTTCAAAAAGGACCTAAAGTTGTAATTTCAATTAGGAGAATTGAGTTTCTTTGTTTTTGCGCCAAAAGCGCTGTTTTCACCTTCACGTCGTATTTTCCACGTGGGAGAATCTTAAACGCTATTAGTTCGTTGTGTCTTGTAGTATGCTATTTTATTACGCTTCACAAAGACGGTTTTGTGTTGTATATATACGTCTTGATTTGTGTCTGTTGTTATCGCTCGTGCTTCTGACTTCGACTTTCTCTCTAGTTAGCGGGGCTGGGACCCAATAGAATATCTAGTTTATTGATCTTTGGTCACAAGTCTTTTTTCCGTTCGTTGTCTAAGTGAATTCGTAACCGCTTCAAAGCTAGCACAAACAATCTAATATTAACACAAAAACCAAATCAGGGGTTTCTTTCCAATCACCTTTGATAATCTAACCTCAATCATAGTGCTTTACTATATCTAATGATTTGGACTTGTAATCACACTTTAACTGAATTAATAGAACCCATTCAGGATCTGATGAAAACATCGAGTAATACTCAGTAATTAAATAGTTCATTTGTAGCTTGATTTTCGGTGTTACTACAGTTATATACAATATTTTTTTGTTTATTGATAAGTCTTGCGGATTGAACGCTATATTCGTCTTCTAAGCTATTCTGCAGCTCCCCAAGCTAGAACTATACAGCGACAGGAACAACGAGAGAAGACGCAAAGTATGCGAGAAGTAGTTTACTCCAAGGTTCATTTTAACACAGAAAATATAGGGTTTTATAATATTTTTAAATGTCCTTGTGTTGCTCGAAGATTCTGGAATGCTACTAAGCATAGTAGCTGTATAGCAGCCAACCAATCACAGACTCTGAATGTGACGTTTCGCTTCCTTGATATTTTTTGGTTAAGACATTAAGTGAATGCTGACTGGCTGAAACGCTTCTTAGTTATTCTCGATGCTTGCTTGTCTTGTGCAAGCAATTTTCTGGATCATCCCAACATTTATATTTGACACTGATTATAAAAACTTTGGTAAAAATTGAACAAAAAAGTTGAAGTTTTGAAAAGAAAACGAAAAAAATAAAAAGTGTAATGCAAGAAATAATCATCTTTGGAGAAATACGATTATCTTTGTTCAAATGAATCTGTAATATAAAGAGAAAATACAAACAACTCAAGAAACATTTCAATATCTACCATTTGAATTATCACAACAATATCAACAATTAAATGAAAGTATTGAACTTAAATCCACTACCAATTCAAATGATATTCATTCATTGAAACAATTATCTCAGGAAATTTGGCGATTATTTCAAGAAACATCACTAAATAATAATAATGGTCTTAAGGAAATAGACAATCATTCTACAACAAATTATAATGAACAACAATTAAATTATCAAAATAAATTCAAATTATTCTTGACAAAATCATTTGAACAATATTGCCGCCATACAATGGATCATTTAAAACAAACGGAGAATTCAATTCTCAATACCGATCATCATCATAATAATAGCAGCACCGATGATATGGATTCTAAAAATAAACCCCCAAAAAGAGAAGAAAAACAAGAACAAAATAGTTGTCAAGAGGAAGATTCAAAACTATTAAATTTAAATGATGGTCATTTTAAATCTTTTACAAAAATTGATAAAATAAAAACTTATCAATTATGGTTTAATTCATTAAATTGTTTAAATACACAACAAAAATTATATCATTTATATAAAACGAATTATTTCATTAAAAATTATTGTCAAAATGTGGAACATTTAAAAATGAATGAAAATGATTCATTGAAAAGTAACAATAGTGTAAATAATCATACAATCACTACTAATACTACTCATAATAGTAATGATAGTAGTAATGATAGTGCGATTAATAATAATAATAATAATCATAATCATACTGTTAATAGTGATATGAGTGATACGAGTAATATTCATAACTTATCGATACCTTCAAATTCTGCCTTAGATGCTTTAATTCATATGACCACATCTACAATGCAACAATTAAAACATGATGGTGATTTCTCAGGTAATTATTTAAATTAAATTTCCTTCTTTTTTCATTATAAATAACCATTGAATTATAATATTAGATTCAAATTACAGATATATCTTATTGAAGAATATAAAATAGTACGAATTCTAGATGACGTATTGTATCCAACCGACTAACATGGAAATATATTTCATGAAATGTTAAGTCAGATAGACTAGAGATAACTTTTCGTTGTTTATTTTTATTTTAACACATAGATATTGGTACAAGGATGCACTAAATACATATGCGCCACACGAATCTCATTCGATATGTGTTAGGGCTGTGATACTGCCCGGGTGCCCAAAACGAAGCAGGTGGTTATCTTAGGGGGCCACTCCCGGAGCCTTTGACCTGAAGGTCTAACCCACAAGGCTGTGGAGCATCGTGAGGAGATGCAGTCCCATGGAAGCCGGTGACCAATGATTGGTTCATACGCCATTTGTCCACACAGGAAACTGGAGCCCATGTGCACCATCAGTTTGGAATCCGGTTAAAGCACAGGATATTCGCTTTTCGTCCTCTCATTTTTGTAAACAACACTCCAGCCACAAGAAGGCAATAAGTAGGACTTCCCTGTCAGAGGCTATATACACGTGGACATGTGAGGGCATTTCGAGAGGGAGAGCGAACTCTCCCCACTCTCGGCCATACCAGGGCATTTGGGGGTACTAGAGATAACACTTTATGTTGATTAATACAATCTGATCAATGCTAAAGGATTAGACAAACATAATATTAACATGATGATTTATTTTTGTAAGATTCAAATGAGCACACATTTGAGTTTATGATGTTAAACTACATGTTCAGGATAAACAAAAACAGATAATCAAATTAAATTAACACAAATTTAAATAGTAAAAAGTAACATTAAGTTCAGTCATCTGAAGTATTGGCCTATTTTTAATAGTTAAGTATATGAGTTGATCTAAACTAGATCACTATTGAAAATATGGAAACACTGGACGACCATTTCATTCTAGTATAGTCTTCCTCATCAGATGGACATTGGCATCGTTGGGTGCCAGCTCAGTGATCTTGAGGTTAAGTGTTTGCGCGTGAGATCGAGGATCCTGGGTTCGAGTCCAATTTGAGAAATCATGGATGAGCATTGCTGAATAGTCCTATACTAAAACGAAACGATCATTCAGTGCTTTTAGTTTTTCAATACTGGTCTAGCCTAGATCGACTCATGAATTCATTTATTAAAATTACTACAATCTCCACAAATCCCCACTTTGATAATTGGCTTATATTAAGTCATAAAATGTCAGAATTTCACATTTCTACTTATTGGAATCTGATAAGTATATCATTTATTTTATCATTAAATTTTCACTTAATACTTACTTTATTTGGAACTATCACATCCAGCTTTAATGTTGATAGTGACAAACTATACAGTATTCAATCCCTTGTAAAATGATGCATTTCTTACCATTACAGTAATATTTACTGATCGCAAATTATATGTATAAGAGTTGTATGTATGAATGATAGGCGAAGTTCTATTATCTAGTATGATACTACTAATTAAGTGAACTTTGATTTTTAATGATTACTCAAGTTGGTGACTAAAATTACTTCTTTTTGGCAACATTCAGCTAATTAAATTAAATATACAATTGATTATGACGTACTGTATATGAATATTTAGTTGTTACATTTGTCTGCCGAATAATTTGTCATTAAAATTTCAATGTCTGATGAATAATAAGCAGATATGATGTGAGTTTTTAGTCTATGATCTATCATCAATAGTGATGTAAACATCATCCGTATAGAAAATATCAAGTTCTAATGAAGATAGCTACATTCATACCAATTTGATATAACATGGTAATTAGAGATCTTCGTAAATTCTCATTTATCTTTTATTTATTCATGAGTAATCATTGTTAGAGAGACAGTGATAAACATTTCTAATCGTACACACATAGTTAGATACAACCCCCAAATGACCTGGTATAACTGAGGGTGGGGACATTCAACCCTGCCTTCTGAAATGCTATCGTATATACTGTCACTGTCGGGGAAGTCCTACTCACTGCCTTTTCCTGGTGAGAGTATTGTTTACGAAATTGAGGGGACGAAAAGTGAATATTCGGCGCCCTAACAGAGTTGATGGATATGGAGGATCCACCTGAGGGAGTTTGGTGGGCGATCTATGCTTCTCCACGAGGAGTAACAGGCGTCAATAAGTAAGTAACTAATTAACCTAAGGGAGTTGAAAGACCCTAATTCCAAAACAATGGTGCACATAGGCTCCAGGATCCTAAGGGGATAAATGGCGTATGAACATACTGTTCGTCACCGGTTATAATGGGACTGTATCTCTTAACTCTGTTCCACTGCCGTGTGAATTAGACCTCTAGGTCAAAGGCTACAGGAGTGGCCTTTTAAGATAACCACCTCTGTCAGTTGGGGCACCCGAACAATATTCCAGATCTCATTCATATCAAATGTTTTGTGTGATGTATATATATTTGGTGCCTCCTTGTACCAATGTTTATTTGTTAAAATAAATAAAAATTATATATATAGCAAAAACCATAAGATGTCTAACTTATCAGTTCATGAGAAATTTACCAGGTCTTATTTTAATCTCAATTTAAATGTCTAAACAAATAATCCCTTATTATGTGTTACTAGTTGAAATCACGAGTCAGTTGAAGCTAGACCACCATGGAAAACCTGGAAGCACTGAACGGCTATTTTGTCCTAGGACGGAACTCCTCAGCACTGAGCATCCACGATCCCGCCTCGTGAAATTCGAACCTAGGGTCCTCGGGGGCACGTGCGAACGCCTAACCTTTAGACCACTGAGCCAGCATATAACGTTATTGATGTCTAACTTCAACCAATCCACGAAATTGCGCCACTGTCCAGCATTGTCTTCAGTGAGTTACTATCTCACAAAAGACCCGGTTGAACTCCACTGGTCACTTCTTCTTACTAAAACTCCAGGATATACCACTTGGAGACCGTCACTCGTCCAGTTTTGGGATCTCAATTAACCATTGAAAGGCTCCAGACGAATTTTCTGTTCTATACCATTGATTAAATAACTAATTTGATCATTGAACAGGAGTGATTTTTAAAATCGCTTACTAACTACTATATTATTTGCTGATACCTTATACATGAACTTTTGAAATTTGTTTTACTCTAAGATTCTAATTTACATTCATTCGAACTCATCAAGATGACTATTATAATTTAAATCATGCTAAATTTATTTATTCTATAATTTGATTCAAATGACGTATTACTCCATCTAATTCATAATTTAAGTTTTCTAACAGAAATATTGAATTAACTGATGTTTAGTATTGTGCTTAATTAGCTCACTGTTTGCTTACTGTAAGGAATCTATGCTCAGTATAGGAAAATGTCAATTATTACTTCATTTGAAAAGGTTTTGTGAAGGTCTCCATGGACCGTATTCATTTGAGGTATCTTGTAAAGCTAAAGAGACCTAGATAACTGTATGCATGCGTGATGGGACTGTAGTTAAATCCAGGACATTTAGGTGTCGTAGTGAGAAGCCATAATTATCAGAGTTTAACCACATTGGGATTACGACAGTTACATATAAACAGTAGTGAAAAATATGTGTACAGTTCGATGAATTTATTCAAATTAGAAATGAAAACCATTGTATACTAAATTATAAGTTAATCGAAACCTGGAAAATCTTTGGTTCGACCTTCAGTGCGGTTGCTGGCATCCACTACGAAAGGATCTAATACTAAAATACAACATCTTTCCTCTGCTTCCTGCTTTCTAACGGTTGTGTAACTTAGGTCAGCCTACCATTTAAATCCTAAAAGTTATTTTGTGTGGTTTAATGTTTTATTTATGTACTGTCATTACTTAAATGGGTGATATATAATCCTGTATAGTATATGTTAAAAGGGCTTATAGGCAGTTTCCAGTTCACTAATCACATCTCTAATCAATGCATAAACAGAACAGTATTCTATTTTAGAATAACATGTATTTCATTGCACTCCTAATCATTAAAGTAAATTTTCAGTATGCCATTAAATCTAGATAATGTGTATCATGTATTGAACATCGTCAACTAACAGGAAATTCCTCTTTATATTTACTCAACTGTCTACTTTGTTAGTGAACAATACAGTTTTTCTTTATAATTCCTAGATTGTCAGTAGTTAAGATTATTGGTTGTCAATTCATTCAAATAAATTACCTATTGTAAATCTATTCTAACACATTCAATTTCATGCAGAGTGAAGCTTCGATTCATCTATCTATCTATCTACCTACCCACCCATATGTATGTATGCAGTACAATCATACACATGAATGAATATTACGCTAATCATGAGTTAAGATGATTTGTTTGCTTTTTTTTCATTTCATGAATGTAATTTGTTTGAATTGAATTATAACACAACCTAATAAGATATTTTGAAGGGAAACACTTTGACTGTTTTACTGCTTTGTCTCATTAGCCTTAGTTACTAAACATGTTCAATAATTTATATTTCATTACTGTATAGAATGAGTGACAAATTGTTTTAATTATCAATATACAACTATATTTTATTATATGAAAATCACTTCTATCAGATAGTAATATTGACAAAATAATAACTGAAATTAATAAGAAATGACTTGATAACATTTTTCTAAATATAGAACTACTTAGTAGTCATCTGATTGCACAAATTAGTAGCTATCAGAGCTCAATTGCTAAGTGGATAACGAGATGTTGAAGTAAACGGTGCTAGGTTCTCGTCTCAGAGTAAATATCAACTCCAGGATGCAGGTAGCTAAACATTTACTGCACGGCCATTTTTGTATTTTTTCGAGTGAAACTTTTTTCACCCCTTTTGAGAAAAGTTTTCATCCCCATCTTCCAATAATTTTCATTCTGTTTCGTCCAATCAAATAACTAGCTTTGAGTTCGTTATAATTGGTCGTTTATTTCTTCAAATCGATATAAAGTATGAGGACTTGATGACAGAGCACATTTTCT